TGTCCCTGTAATTTGGATATGGTTTATCTCTTAGAGGTTGCTACCCTGCAAGTCTGGTTCTGGCACAGAGGAGAGAAGATGGTGGAAGCTTCAGGAGGTGGAGCATTACGGATAGTAACTAGGTCATGGATTAATGAATGAATTAATGCTTTCTCCAGCAGTGCCTTGCACTGGACAGGGCTACAATATTTCTTCACGTAGAGCAACTTGCTGAAAGAGAAGATTTCCTGATACCTGATCTCTTCTGGACAGGGCAAGTTTCAGCTCAACTCCTTGGCCCGATTTTGTTTCAGGCAGAAGATCATCACCAGGTCTTGCTACTAAGACTCTCCAGTCACCAATACTACTGTATCTCCCTTCGTCTATCTGTGTGTTCCTTTTGCATTAGAGTGTGTATCCCAATTCTACAAGATGTCATATTAGAAAGGGCCACCACAGAATCTTCTGTCCTCAGTCACAGATTTTCTCCTTTATATTTCTCAGAATCATTATCTGTCAGCTGTCATATGTGACTAATATATGTGATCTTTCATCATCAGACATGTCTCCCTCATAACTGCATGATGAATACACAGGTGTGAGTGTTTTCAATAACCGTAAGTGTGCTTTATCATATTAATCACTATATTCCCAGTACATTCTCAAGAGAGGCCTGATGTGCACCACGGTGCCTTTTGCTTAGACAATTGACAGATGTCAGTTTATTGGTGGTGATGTATTGCTGCCTCCCTTCGCTGGATTTGTGAGAGGGAGGTTAACATGTCCAGATGCTGAAGAGAAGCTGTGTGCTGACAGAATCAGCAGTTGAGGGCACCTATTATTTATTGTGTGTCCTAGGCACCCCTGTATGAATGCAGATGTCAGGGGCATGCTGCACAGGTCTCCATCCTGGGATGCTACAGTGTTAATACAACCTCTCTGGCCCCAGACGGTGGTGTTACTAAAGGTCAGTGCTCTTTACCTAAAGTGCTATGTTTACCTTCACTGGCTACTCTGAGAGTCAAGAAAGGGCTAATGCTTAGCCCATTTTCCTCTATCGCCACAGACTCACATAAGCAAAGTGAGTCTGAATCATTTATACAGAGCCGTACCATAAGGCGCTGAAGGAGGCAGGTGTGGGTCTCAGATGGTTGTCTACGTCCAAATTCCACGCTCTATCTGCTAGATAATCCTGCCTTCCCTCTCAATAGAATATTTCCCCAGATAGTTCCTGCAACATTTATAGCAGAAGCCTGCAGAGTGACTGTTATAGAAGTTGGTGGAAAACTTCCAGGCGTCTAAAATTGTAAGAAACAGCCACATTTCGCTTTGGGTATTCACATTTGAGAAGTGATGTGGGTTTTTTCCCCTCCCCTCAAATATTCAAAAGTTTGATCTCAGGCAAAAGTTTTACTATTCTGCCCTAAACTGGAGGAATGAAAACATCTATGAATTTACATCAGTTTGCTGGAGGCAGAAATTTGCCAGTTTGCAGGAAAATGGCTTAAAAATCGAAGCTGAGATGAAATACTTGAACTTCCTGTATGAACCTATGAAAGCAATATTTTTTTTTATCAAATGATATGAAGGTTTGCACAACCCTACATTACTTCAATATAAAAACGAGGTTTCCTGTCTAAAATGTCGCACAACTGTTTGGATTCTTTAGAACACATTCTGAAAAGATTCTTGTCCCCTTAATTTCGGCATATGTCATCATTTCTCCTTTGTGCTTCATCTATTCCTATATTTAATAGGAATTCTAAACAACTAACTTCCTTTTCCACTCCCTGTAAGGTACATGTGCATAAGGGGTAGTGAACGGCACAGACTTGGAGAAGGGTTGCTTTTTCTGAGTGTCAAAAATACACAAGGGCCAAGAATTTGCCATCTACTTCCCCAGAACCTGTGATCAAACAGAATATCAGAGAGCCATTTGAGTTTCTCCCGAAAGAACCTTCCGTGCCTTGTGTTGCCCCAATGAACTACAGCCCTATGACAACAAAACAGTGTGACTTCCAGTTGGGACATTTGCTTATTAGTTGCAATACAATCAGCAAAATCAACTGTGAAACAATGTTCTAGCAGTCACAGGACCAGAGGGCTCTAGTTGAAGGTACTTTGTCCTGTGTCTTTATCTCATGGGTTTCCTGAGGTACATTCATCTCTGCAGCATGCTTCTAACAAGACTCCTTCTTCAGAAATCTTTTATTTCAGGTCACCAAATATTTATGACCATCCTTTATCTAAACGCTGATACAATACATACTATGGGATATCTAAAGTAATTTCACTGATAATATAAACCTGAATGTATAAGTACATACAATCACTGATTCTACTCATACATGGAATTAGTGAGAATTATGAGATATGTATCTCCCATTTATTTGAGAAACCTATGGATGAGGTACTTGGTAGCCCTTTCACTAATATGCATCTAAAAACCATTTTCTGGGGTTACTTTATTTTGAGATTGAACATAATTAAAAGACTAAGCAAACTGAACATTCCAGAATGTTCAAAGTTGTGGAACTCCTTACTTTTGTTGTTCTTTTTTCCCTAGATATTCCTACTTCACTTTCTCATGTATTTCCCTGGCTCAGAACCACTCTGTCATTAGGCATGTGTTTTGAGCTAAGTTTTTGGTTTTGTAGGGAACGTATATAAAATATGTATATATGTATGTGTGTGTGTGTGTGTGTGTGTGTGTGTGTGTGTGTGTAGTCTTCCCGACTTACATGAAGTAAGGAAAAATGGAAAAGTTCATAGGTGGATGAGAAACACATTCATTTATCGTTAGTGAATGGAAGAGGGCTAATCTGTCAATTGTATATGAGAAGCAAAAACCACTTATATCATCGTCAATATTAAAAATCTATCTTAGTTTGATATACAGTTCATTCAAATTAACTCCACAAACAGATTTGTGCTATCACTCAATACAAACGTTACTACAAGTTCTCAGAGATACACTGGTCTAGACTGTAATAAGTTGTGCTAGGTCTTACATATGAAGTGACCCTTCGAGATCTGCATGTCTAAGCCTTCATCACTACCACAACACTAATGTGAGGTTCTTTAGGACATTGGAGTCCTGGCTTTCAAAGGGACTGTAGGACTAGAACCTCTGTCTCTCTCTGCTTACTGAATAGGGATAGGAGCTCTCTCTTCTGCCATGTGCTTATATTAGGATATGTCCCAGTCATCAGTAGCCACAAGTTGAATTGCAACCTAAAAAAAAAAAAAAAAAAAAATGTGAGCCTAAGTCATTTCTCTTTAGATGTTAGTATTCTCAGTCATTCCCTTATAGCAACCTAAAACTGACAAACACATAAGAAGAAACGTTTTTACAGGAAACACTTAAGAGTGTTGGAGTGAGGGGCACCAGACTATTTAAAAATCCTTTAGATGAAAATGCTTATCTGTCTGTTGTGAAGGAGAGAAGAAGGAACTTCACGTGCAAGAAGGTGGTTTTAAATATTGGCAAAGTGAAAAGCAAATGGAAAGGACTTATCTATCAGAGGAAGTTCCCACCTTGCAAGAATGACCTAGTTTTCCCAAGAAAATACATCAGAAATGGCAGTCTTAGTATAATTGTGGAGATACACTTCTATGCTCACAATAAATCATTGCTCACTTGGTTGGATACACCTTGCCCATCAACTGTAACTCTTATCTGAACAATTTGACAGTCATCACAGTTCTACTGTTCACCTTTCATACATCTTCTCACCAGAGGTACTGGGGTGGATACTACCAAGAGCCTCTATTTCTGACTGGTAAGTTAGAAGAAATAGTTTTAGTGTAACTGATCTCAGGAACACACTGATATATTAACTTTTCCCTCCAATGTGATTTGGAAATTCTCTTCTCGTTCAGTAATCACCTGAGCAGGGTTTTGGTATGGTGTGGGAGGTCCTTTTGTTTGTGTGTTGCTTTTATTGGTTAATGAATAAAGAACTGCTTTGAGCCTATGGCAGGGAAAAACAGAATTAGGCAGAGAAAGCTAGGCTGTATGTTGGGAGAAAGAAGGGCAGAGTCAAAGAGAAGCGATGAAGCCGCCAGAGACAGACACTGGGAACTGGGAAACCTTCATTCTTGGTATGCTGTAATTTTGGTTATCATACCATCTTCAGGCAGGTTTGCCACACATGCTTTCACAGTTACAAGGGAGCATGTGAAAGATAGGAGATGGTCATACGAATCGCCTGGATTCCATAGACATCCTTTCCCCTTCCTACGACATGTGGTTAGCATGTTAGCTTCCCACCCATTAATCAAGAACCTTTGCAATTGTGATAAAATATCTTCTATCCTGATGAGATTTTGGCACAAGGAATCTAGAATGACCGGACAATAATGGTAACACGTATTTTGATGAAACACCTTTGTCCCGTCCTAGCTTTCAGAAACTCCAACTCTAGGTCTAAAAAAGCATGGGATAAATCTGGACTAGCTAAACATAGCGGACAATGAGGAATACTGAGAACTCAAGAACAATCGCAGTGGGTTTTTGATCCTACTGCACGTACTGGCTTTGGGGGAGCCTAGGCAGTTTGGATGCTCACCTTACTAAACCTGGATAGAGGTGGGAGGTCCTTGGGCTTCCCACAGGTCAGGGAACCCTGATTGCTCTTCGAGCAGATGAGGGAGGGGGACTTGATCGGGGGAGGGGGAGGGAAATGGGAAGTGGTTGCGGGGAGGAGGCAGAAATCCTTAATAAATAAATAAAAATAAAAAAGCAAAAAAAATGTATTTAAGGAAAAAAACGTGGAAAAAAGTTGTTTTTATTTTTAAATGAAGGTAAATAACTATTCTATGGTTTTCACTGAGTATGTTATTCCCACTAGGGACCCACCATTATGATGTTAATTGAGATCATGAAGGAAAGATATCCAAGTATATTATAGGATGAGTATCTGACCTTGAAAACAAACTACTATTGTCCCTTCCATTATGTAAAGAACTCATTTTACTCAGTTTAGCTGGAAGTGGCTCATCGATCTCTCCATGGAATAATGCCTACAGCAGAATTTAAGTTTGGTGTTTCTAACTTGAAGGTTATGAATTTGGAGGTAATAGTAGCTTAACTAACCTTAGTAAACGATGATTCTCAGCCTACTGTAGATCCCTGGACTGTCTCCAGCAGTACAGCAACTGCCAAATCTTAGGCAGTTGATACTGAAGGCAGGTTGGTATCAAGTGGCTGAATTATTTTTGTCTACTTGCTTGTTTTGTGACCCGTCAATGCTAAATATGTTTTATATTTTGCATTATGTGTAAAGCAAAAACCTTGAAAATGTGTGTCCAATCCCATCCAATATGTTCAACCATAAGTCTCTAAATATCCTAGTTTCTCTTTTAAAAAAAGATAGAGCAGTGTGAAGAAGCAGTGAGAACGACCCCCGGACGGACCCGAGCCGCGCACCGCTGCAGCCCTGCGTTCAGCGCGGACGATCCCCCCCCCCCCCCCCCCCCCCCCGCCGCCGCCGTGCCCAAAAGAAAGGCTGAAGGGGATACTAAAGGAGATAAAGCCAAGGTGAAGGACGAGCCACAGAGAAGATCGGCAAGGTTGTCTGCTAAACCTGCTCCTCCAAAGCCAGAGCCCAAGCCTAAAAAGGCCCCCGCAAAGAAGGGAGAGAAGGTACCCAAGGGGAAGAAGGGGAAGGCCGATGCTGGTAAGGATGCCAATAATCCTGCAGAGAATGGAGATGCCAAAACAGACCAGGCACAAAAAGCTGAAGGTGCTGGAGAAGCCAAGTGAAACGTGTGCGTTTTTGATAACTGTGTACTTCTGGTGACTGTACAGTTTGAAATACTATTTTTTATCAAGTTTTATAAAAATGCAGAATTTTGTTTTACTTTTTTTTTTTAAAGCTGTGTTGTTAACACGCAGAACACTTCATTGTTTTGGGTGGGGAGGAACATGTGTCACTAGCAGTGTCTCCCAAGCTGGATGAATGATGGTTCATGATGGAAAACATCTTTCCCTGATAATTTTGAAAGACTCCTCTTGGCTCCCAGGAGAGGCTCCTGGGGACATGTTGACATGTGTGGGAAAACTCGGTTCATTTTTATATCCTCCTCCCCCTGTACCATCAACATAGACTTAACTCCCTTAAGACCAGAGACCTGTTGGAACCTGATCCCCAAAATTGGTTTTGCCAGTCTGTTGGGCAATCCGGACTTTGCAGTGATATCATTGAGTGTCCTCAAAAGCGCAGCGGTTCCTTTTATAGAAGATTGTGGATCTGCAGATTGATAATTCTGCCATTTTCATTTCATTTCCTGAAATTCAGGGTCGGCTTGTGAAGAGTTGTGAAACAACATCCTCGATGTGAAATGTCAGCCCCCACTCTAAACTCCTCCCCCTTTGCAGAGCATCCAATGAAGACTCACCAGGTTTTATAGTGGCTTTCTGATTTTGGTAGTCGGTACAAGAAGGGAGTTTGGAAGTTCTTGTATACTGTTACTGATTGTCTGCCCATGTTCTGCCTGGAAAACCATGATTGTTTATGGAAAGTGTCTTTAATAAAGCTGGATACAGTTTGGCTTGGAAAAAAAAAGATTATTTTAAATTTGTATTTATGTGTGTGTGTGTGTGTGTGTGTGTGCGTGCACACACTGTTCTGTGGGTGCTTGTGAAAGAAGACTTTGATTCTGCTGCAGCTTTGGTTGCAGTCAGTTGTGAATCACCCAGAGTGTTTTCTGTAAACTAAACTCTGTCCTCTTCAGGAGCAGCAAACACTCTTAACCACTGAGCCATCTCTCTAGCCCCTCTAGTTAGTCCCTTTATTCTCTATATTTCTTACCAGTTTCCAGTAAAATGTTCAGATCACTAGTTACTGCTCATGAAAAGTTTTGTGTATAGCATATAATGTATATGTGTGGTTGTAGATGTAAATATACCAATTAAGTTAACAAGGAGGTATGCCACCCACAATTTCTCAAATTGGGAAGGCGTTTTTCCTCCACAATTTTTTTTCAGTGTGTGGAAAGTATTCACAACCCACTTTCAGCTTGCATCTCTAAAGTGTGAAGGTAGGACGATCAGTCTGGTCATTTCCCCCTATTTCAACTTCTGGCACAGACCAACATTTTAACACTGAGACTGAGACCAATAAGTGGCACTAACATGGTCCTAGTGAGCAAGGTGAAGACTAGACAGACCTTGTTCATGGTTTACTGATCCATTCTGCTCCCATCACTGCTAATCACAAGAATGCGGTTTTTATTCTAATACAGTTATTTCCACACTAAGGGCACATACAGCTTTATAATATGATAATCCCCCAAAGAATCTTGTCTATGATGCTCAACCATAGAGCACCATAACTTACACTTCTGTGATCCAGTGCTACATCTTTACTGCTGTCCCACAACACAAGAGATGATGTCAGGAAACCAATTGCTCCAATGTCATAATCAAGTCCCTGAATCTCAGATTCCTGTGGACAGTTTCCTATCCATATCGACCAGAAGCCCAATAGTGTGCCTTTTTCTTCTTTAACATACCTATGAACCATGCAGATGCTGAAGTTCAAATCTTTGAGTCTTCAAACCAATATATTCTATCTTTGGAGTTTTCATAGGCTTCCAGACTCCCAACATATCTATGGGAATAGAACTTCATTGCTAGAATGCTTTCCTGGCATACAGGAAACTCAGCATATTATCCCCAGTTCCTCATACACCTTTATTTCCAGCACTTGAAAGATTGAGGCAGAAGGATCAGAAGTTCAGTGTTATACTTGGCTACACAGTTGGCTCCATGAAACTCTTCTCAATAAAAAAAAGTTTCCAGAGTAGCTCTCATGTTTAGCTTCCTTTTCAAATACATAACATCCATGCTATGGATCAGGGTGTTTCTGGAGAATGCACACAACAGGTATGAGACTAAACATAGACCTTAAGCAAAACTTTAAAAAAAAAAAGAGAGAGAAGAGAGCACCAGAGTCCATTCCATTGTAATATAGAAATCTGCTCCATCATGAAATGGATCTCACAATGCGAGTATTTTATTGAATAAAAATAAGTGTGTTGGGGTTTGGTGTGTGACATTGAAAAATGGTTCATCTCTGTCCCCAAATGGCCACAATATTTTATTAGGTCCACATGTATTTAATTAAATGAAAGCCACTGGCTTCATTGTTACAGTATCTTCCCTACCAGTGAGTATTTTCATGAAAATTAGCCTCTAAGGTATCTTAGCTATGTTTGGGGTTACTTTTCCTAAAAACAAAGATAAAAATAAAGCCCTGGGCAAGGTTTTCAGTATTATCTACTCTTAATATTAGCCTTCCCCAGTAAACCCCTTTTGCTCTAATCTAAAACAAAAAGTTAATTATTTAATGTTAAAAATTCTAGACTTTTTTCATTAATAAGCTAGGATACAGGTTTTCCTTACTGTCTATATTCTTAAAATTATAATTTATTAATTTACTTAAGATGTTATTGTGAATTTGATTCTTAAACACCCCCTAAAGCCAGTGTGCTTAAAGCCTAATTGTGAGGTTATGTGCTTGAGAGGTTCTTGCAGTTCTTCCTTCCTTCCTTCCTTCCTTCCTTCCTTCTTTCCTTCCTTTTTTTCTTTCTTTCTTTCTTTCTTTTTTTCTTTCTTTCTTTCTTGGTTGTGTAGCTTATTGAACCTTTAGAAGTTCGGACTTCAAGGAAGAAAGTTAGATCACTGAGGAAGTGACATTGAAGCGAATAGTATCACACACACACACACACACACACACACACACACACACACACTCCTCCATTCTCAGCAACAGTTAGCTGCTTCCCCTGACAACCATTCCTTACAGAAATGCTATCACAGCCCAGCAGCAACATTGTCCAGGAGCTATAACTGAAGTCAGAAGCCAAAAACTTCTTCCCTGCTTATGAGTTAAGCGTATGTTAAGGAGGTAGAGCACTAACACAGAATCTCAGGACACTCACTCTTGAGCTGCTCCGGGGCAGGATATCATCTAACATAAAACCATCTACCTGTAAGGATGGTTTGCCATAGACCTCTGCTCCAACATGGGGGCAGAAAGGGAACTTTTAACTTTATAAGTATCATTGTTAACTCACAGTTAACATGAAGTAGATTTAGTTTCTCAGGCCTTTTTCCTTCACATGCAATGACCCAAATAAGTGGTGATGAAGTCTTATCGGGAAGTATGAGAATAACCATTCTTCCCAGATATACCTGCCATTATTAGGGTAGAACACTTATTCAGAAAATGAATTCTACATTCACAGTGTTGCTTAAATGAAAAAATCAAATCAATGGCTGTTAAATATAAAATTTATTTAGCATTGATTGGGCACTAAATGATGAAGTGGACATGTATAACTCAGCCAGTCTGACATCTTCCTCTTTTTTGGCTCTTCCTTTTTTTTCATTACCCCCTTTCTTTCTGTGTCCCTCAGGATTCCTTTCATTTTGGATGCATTAACTACTCTCCTTGGGCTAAACTTTCTTAGCTGTTGATTTCACATTAATATTCTTTAGAATACCTCTGACTTTCTATCCCATAGTTCAATTCAGGTTCCTGTATACTGAACACTCATCAGCGCCTCTCTCTGTGTGTCTCTATCTGTCTCTCTGTCTCTATCTCTCTCTCTCTTTCTCAGACTGGCATGAAAATTATGAAGACCAACTAAATTCGTTAATGATTTTAGAAGTCCTGGTTAAGTTCCCTTAACCAGAACAATGATGATGACCATGGGGAATGACATGTCCTCTTGGCTCCTAGAAACATCATCAGCTGATAAGCCATCCAAATTCTCAACTTATGTCCACTCCAGTGTGATTTATTTGCCCAGCCTCATTATTCCTGCCTCTAACTTTTAAATAGGCAGCTCAGATAGTTCTTATTCCCTTTGTGCTGTTATTTCTTTTGGCCATCAAAAATCCAACTCAGAAGTCGGGATGACCTATCATTTAGGATCTTTGTGAGGATGTGTCTTGTCCCGAGAGAGTTAATTAGCTACCTCCAAGAATATTTGCTTATACAATTATGCAGTATTTGACCACCAAAATTCCATGACATGGATAAATTTCTCTGGCTCAAGCTAGTAAAGCCAGCTGATTATTTCAACTTTATTCCACATAGTACACTTTCCTCTCTTCTTCACTCATGCAGTATGATTATTCTAGAACTTAGCACTAATCACCAGGCTTCAGGCAACACAGAAAAGTGAGCCGTTTCTGAAAGGATAAATCACCAGTTTCTTTGTGTAGGTGCAGCTTCTGTAAGGTCTTCCATTACAGAGGACGTGGTATCTCTTTCTAATGAAGGGTACTAGAGGTTACCTTACACAAGTAACCAGAAAACAAATGCCACTGCTGCCATAGGCATCGTTAAACCAATTATTTTAAATTCTTTGCACTTGAGCCAAACATTTATCTGACTGGATACTTTCCTGCTCACCCAAGAAAGCTTTAACAATAATTTTCCCTGTGTGTCAGAGTGTAACCTCATCACCACAGTCTATGCATAAGCTCATTCAAATTCCCCCATCTTCATATTCAAATTCTGATAAGTCTTGTTGTCATTTCCATTATTTGGTCACTCAATGGTAATGGTAATACAATAGAATAGATGTGCAAAATTTCATTTGGGAAAAATCACAAAAAGAACTGGATAAGGAGCCGAAGAATGCCAGAAATGCTAACAGATCTTAATGCAAGTCTGACTCTTATGAAGGAGAAGAGAAGAAAGAACAGCTGAGTGTGAGTGTTAGAGAAGGCCTGTCAGTTTCCAGAAG